AGGTAAATCATTATGAAATTACGTACAGTGCAGCTGTTCAGAAATAAACACGAACTTTACTGGTATTGATCTAGGACAGTCGCCAGATCGACTCTAGAAAATGGCGAATGGCAAATTATTGGAATTTGTCGTAACTCTTTCGACTTCTAAGAACTGAACGTCTATGAAGAGATGCATATTTACAGATTTTGATTATGTACATGTATGATATTCTTCAATTTATGTCCCTCCGCGAGACTATCGAGCCTACATGTACCTGTACTCCTAAAAAAAAGAACACGAGTCAGTGGGTCGCGATATAACACAAAAAATAAAAGTATTATCGGTGCTAGAAGGTCTAGGAAAGTATATAATTTGGGAATATTGTGTTGGAATAGGTCTTTGCCAATTTTACACACTAAAATTTTATGAAGTACTGATTTGATCAGGGATTCCCCACCACCCCACCCACCCTTTTTCCAATATTTAGCTTGACCTTTTGGTGGTGGCCTTTCTCTATGGTTTCTTTAAATATTGGTGTGCACGTAAAAGAACCCTGCGGGGACTGTTGTAATCCTTAGAAGACCAGGCAAAAATCTTCTCCCTGCCACTGCATGTATGGCTTTATAGCAAAAATAAAATTAATCATTTCCATTCCTTTATTTGACCTTTATAAACATTTAAAAAAAGAACCCATCTTTACTCATTATCAAGCACTTGCAAACAGTTATTGTATTTTTAACATTTGATTGTTTTTATCTTTTCCAGGTATGCTCATGCCTTTCTGGAGAGGACAGCCAATGTTTTGGCAGCCCACATGCATTCTCGATTTCATCGCTGGATGGACATTACAGTTCAGCTACTCCTCAAATATTTCGGTCTGTGTTTGAATATGGGTTTGATAAAAAAAAAAAGAAGAATTTGCAGCACTATTGGAGAGAAAATTACCAGTCCCAAGATGTTCCATTTTTTCGATCCGTAATGTCCTACAACCAGTTTATGTTGATTAACTGTATGCTCCATTTGAACAACTCCGAAAAACAGATTGATAGAGGACAAGCTGGGTTTGATCCCTGGTTCAAGATTAGAACAGTTTTAGACCACCTCAATCGTTTATTCAAACAGTACTTCATACCCGGTCGTAATACTTCAATAGACGAGAGTATGGTAGGAATGAAAAACAGACATTGTTACATACAGTATATGCCAAATAAACGCCACAACAGATTTGGAATTAAAAAGTTTGAATTATGTGACAGCAAAACCGGATACGTACTTCACACAGAACTTTATTCTGGTAAAGATTTTGACATCAGATCAGAGGATGGTCAGGGTTCCGCAGTTGTACACTTTCTTTTACGTTCAGCTAGCTTGTTCAACAAGGGTTATCATCTTTTCACTGACAATTTTTACACCAAGATAAGTTTAGCTATGGACTTGTGGAATAAGCAAACTTTGCTCACTGGAACTGTTAGGGCAAATTCGAAAGGATTACTGGAACAAGTACTCCAAAGACGGCTCAAGCCCCAGGAAAGTTTTTATATGAGAAAAGGTCCACTACTTGCTTTGTCCTTCCGTGACAAGAAGTCACAACGTAAACCTGTCTTGCTGCTGTCAGCAGAAAGTTGTGCGAAAGATATTGATGTTTCCCAACGAGATGGCTCTGTGAAACTAAAACCTAAGGCAATTATTTCATATAATGTGTCAATGGGTGGAGTAGATATGATGGACAGGAAGATATATCAGGTCGCAGCTGAGAGACCTACCAACAGATATTGGGTGAAAATATTTAGAAACATGATGGGCATGGCATGTAGAAATAGCTATGAACTTTACAAGTTAAACACTGAAAAATGCTTTGATCAACTTGAACATTTTCTGCGAGTGCCAGCAGTAGGTCGTAAACGGAAAGCTGAATAGTAGTTTATTGCACTGTGGATGGTTTCAGATATGTTCTTTGTTATGGATAATAAATAATGGCAGCATTATTATTTTTTAGTTGACCAAAATTGTTTTGTCTTTTTATACTTAATATGTTCAAAAATAACCCTCAACTGGTCCAATGTCGTTGTTAGAGTTTTCCGCTACTCTACGGGCCCCTGGAGATATTTAGTAATAGCTGGCTGCATCGTATACTTGTGCGAAAAATATGTCGGCCATTTTGTTTTGGTCATGTGACATACTTCTGAAAAATTTCAAATTATTTGCACCAGATTCTTTATTATGACATAAGCTAACAGAACTTGTACATGGTTATCTGCACTTTTGGACCAAAAAAATCACTTATGACAAATTACATTCTACTGAATGAGAAAGGCAGCCATCTTGGATTTTGATAATATCCATATGAACCCCAATATATTTTGAATGGATCATTATAATGTCATGAAACTTTGCAGAGCTGTTACTAGATCAACACTGTAACTTGTGGCTGTAACATAACATTGTTAAAGTTTCTCCCCAACTCTGCAGGCCACCAATCATAGACTGCTACATCTTCATGTGATAAATATGTCGGCCATTTTGTTTTTATCATGTGACATGCTTATGAAAAATTTCAAATTTTTTTACACCAAATTCTTTATTGGGACATAAGCTAACAGAATTTACATAGTTATATTCACTTTTGGGCAATATATTCCCTTCTGAATTAATTACATTGTTTCAATGGTCTACTGAAGGAGAAAGGCGGCCATCTTGGATCTTGATAATATGCACATAAACTCCAATATATTTTGAATGGATCATGATAACTTCATTTAACTTGGCAGAGTTGTTACTAGATCAAGTGGGTAAGACGCTAGCTCGCTAGCCTGGAGGTCGAGAAAATTCATCCAGATTTTCGGGCGTGGTTCTCCCTTGTCAGTGATGCAGGACGGAGGGGCTGACAAGGAAAGCTGTCTAGTCATTTGGATGGGACGAAAAACCAAGGTCCCGTGTACACATTGGCGTGCACGTAAAAGATCCCTTGGCAGTTGGAATTCGATATAAGAGTAGGCCGTAGTGCCGCTGTCCGGGCAAAATTTCCCTCATAGCACACTGTATGGCGTATGCCCGTCTTCATTAGCCCAGGTTAGGAGCAGAACAGTAGGATATTAAACCCCATTTCATTTCATTTCATTTCATTTCTAGATCAACAAGGTATACCCTGTGGTTGTAACTTTACATTGTTAGAGTTTCTCCCCAACTCTAGAGGCTCCTGGTCACAGACTTAGGTATTTTTGCGCGAAAAATATGTCGGCCATTTTGTTTTGGTCATGTGGCCTACTTTTGAAATTAAAAAGAAAAATTGTGCCAAATTCTTTATTGAGACCATAGCTAACAAAAAATACATGATCTTTTAGAGGCATTTAGTAACTGGATAGAGCAATAAACTATAACACATACTTATGGAAGAACAATTACTGATTTATTTGGGCGACGTTTCGAAGAGTATTCTCTCAACGTTTTCAAGCGTACTTGCTTGAAAACGTTGAGAGAATACTCTTCGAAACGTCGCCCAAATAAATCAGTAATTGTTCTTCCATAAGTATGTGTTATAGTTTATTAAAAAATACATGGTTATCTGCACTTTGGAGCAATATATTCACTTGCAAAGTAACTTCATTGTTTACACCCAGTTAGTGCATTACAGTAATCATAATGGGCGCTGCTAGCGTTAAGGTCATGAGGTGAAGAAGCCTATTGATTTTCAACGATTTCAAATAATTACTGCCAGAGTTATGGCCCTTGATCACTTTGAAAAATCTTGTGGATGCTCTAGAGGCTAAAGTTAATATCCGATTGACTTTCAATTTATACATGGTGTTTAAGGTCTTGAGACGAAAAAGCTCAGTGAATTTGAATGATTTCCGTTGATTACTACCAGAGTTATGGTCTTTGATCACTTTGAAAAATCTTGTGACACTCTAGAGGCTAAAGTTAATATCCGATTGACTTTAAATTTATACACAGTGTTTAAGGTCATGAGACGAAGAATTCTATTGATTTTCAAAGTTACTGCTAGAGTTATAACCCTTATTCACTTTGAAATATCTTGTGAACGCTCTAGAGGCTAAATTAAATTTATACACAGTGTTTAAGGTCTTGAGACGAAGAAGTGCATCGGTTTTCAATGATTTCCGATAATTACTACCAGAGTTATGGCCCTTGATCACTTTGAAAAATCTTGTGGATGCACTAGAGACCAAAGTTATCATTCAATTGACTTTAGATTGATAAACAGAGTTTAAGGTCTTAAGACGAACAAGTATATTGATTTTCAATGAATTTTGATAACTTGAACAGCTAAATCCATGATATTAAATGTTTCGTATTTAACGTTAGCATTGGGCAGAACTAAAAGCCAAACAAATTCTAATGATTTTCTGATAATAACTTGATAAGTTGTTACTCTTAATCAGATTTTAGTGTATGATAAATGTTTCATTACCGACAATAGGAAAAATATGCGACAACTCCTGTTGACTGCTCGGACGACTTAGCTGCTGTGGGCGTATATGTTTCGTTGCCTGACAACATATCTTTTACAACTGAGCTAAATTTCATGTTTCCCTTTCAGTCTCGCTTATGTTTCTTCACCTCGGAATCACTCATTAAATTGATAATTCCATATCTCGAAGGATAACTTTGCACACCGGAATATAAAAAAAACCGATGAGATGGTGTCATCTAATATCGACCAGGGCTTTGTGGGGGAGAATTCATCCATGCTTTTGGGGATGAAATTGTCCTCTATTTTGAGCCCAAAGATCGATGTTAATAAAATTAAATAATTTGCTGGCGCGATAATTTGTGTTTGCTAGTTATAATTTACGAGTGCGCTGCAGGCGCGGCAAATCTCAAGGTCTGCATTTTCGTTAGTATTTATTGATAATTATCTTGAACTAAACCTACCATAAGTATTTTCTTGCAGAATGGATCTCGGTAAAAGAAAACAAATTATAGAAACTTGTAGTTTGAAAAGGATTCAAAATTCCTCAAATAATGATGTGGGGCTTTAACAAATATTTCATTTTCAGATAAAGAGGAGTCTGCTGTGGCAACAATATTAGTTCGTGGTTCAACAGATAATATTATGGATGATATAGAGAGAGCTATTGATGATGGTGTCAATACATTTAAAGCTTTAACAAAGGTATTACAAACTTGTAAAAGCAGAATTCAGTCAAGTAATGCTATAGTCAGAATAAGAACTAAATCTGCCAGACAGATATGAAAGCTTTCATATTCACGGCCACTTCCTGTCTCATGTCATGGGTTATTTAAGAATCTCAAAAAGAAAAAAATAATTATTAAAAACAGTCAAAATATAATCTGAAAAATGAAGGGAGATAACTGAGATTTATTTTGCTGGAATCGGATTGACTTACCGTTCCAGAAGGTTCAAAAAAATCAATCAACCGCAAGGATCAGAAAGTAAGCTGAAAATGGCGCGAGGGAGGGGGGGGGGGCGAGGGGGATCGAAAAAAAAATAAGTGAGATAACTTTGAATGTAACTTAAATTTGGAATCGGATTGATCTTGGCTATTTAAATATAAATGACAATCGCGGCTACAATTACTAATATTCCTTCTTGTAGTACCGGGCTTTAATTTTTTTTTAAACGAACATATTACTTATTTTCGATTAATTAACTTTTGCCAGGGGGGATCACGTGGCTAAGTGGGTAAGATGCTGGCTCGCTATCCTGGAGGTCGGGTGTTCGATCCCTGCATTGGCCGAGAAAGTTTTTCCAGAATTTCCAGCTTGGTTCCCCCTTGTCAGTGATGCAGGATGGAGGGCCTGACAAGGACAGCTGTCTAGTCATTCGGATGGGACGAAAAACTGAGGTCCTGTGTACACATTGGCGTGCACGTAAAAGATCACTTGGCAGTTGGAATTCTATATAAGAGTAGGCTGTAGCGCCGCTGTCCGGGCAAAATTTCCCTCATAGCACACTGTATGGCGTATGCCCATCTTCATTAGCCCAGGTTAGGAGCAGAACAGTAGGACGTTAAACCCCATTTCATTTCATTTCAACTTTTGCCAGTAAAAGTTCCACTAAGAAAAAATAGAGAGGATCAAAAAGACATATTATGAAAAAGAATAGGCCCTATAGTGAAATGTAGATCTAAAAATACTGTGTACTATAAATAAAACCTCAATGCCAATAGACATCGATGTAGGCCTAGCAGACGAATTTTCTATAGAAGACGATTTTTCTATCCCTTCATGTTCCACAGATACTAATATATGTGGATCAACTAAAAAAAAGGAATCTACCTCACAAACCATTAATAATGAACATGACACAAATTCAGGTCATGAGGAATATGTTTCTGACTCTGATGATCACAGGCCTACTATGTCATATCAAGGTCTTTCTTCTGCTAGTGTCAAGAAAATGACCCTTTATCAGTTATTAAAAAACAATGATATAAATAATAAAGAAACTGAAGATATTGAAAATGACAATAATAATAGTATTTATAATGATATATTACAGTCCCTCATTCCGAATTTTTGTGTCGGAAAGCCACATTAAGGGTGTTTGTTCCTCGGTTCTAAAGACATGGGCATTGGTTGTACCACGCTAAATTAATTCACATATGCATTGCAGCATATAATAAGACGTATAATAAAATTTCAACTACATTGCATGATAAACTGTCGAACAACAATATTTTAAGTGATGCACATGAGATAATTAACAAATGTAAAAGCCAATTCCATGATACTGGTGATCCTAAAGACATACTTGTCAGTTACAACGGTTCTTGGCACACCCGTGGGCATACTTCATTACATGGCATAGGTTTTGTCATACATGTCGACACTGGACTTACAATTGATTATGAAATTTTGAGCAAGTATTGCCATGCATGTGAAGTGCATGGCAATAAACTTTCGAATGCTGAAAAGACAGAATGACTGACAAATCATAGATGTGAAAAAAATTTGATGGATCATCTGGCTCCATGGAAACTGCCATTTCAAAAATATTGTGGGCACGTTCACAAGATTTAGGATTCAGATACACTACAGTTTTAAGTGATGGGGATGCTAAAACAATCGATGCATTAAACGAATTGTGCCCCTATTATTAAAGAGAAGTGTACCAATCATGTGTCGAAACGGATGTACAAAGGCCTTGAGCTTATCAGTAAAAACGCGATGACAGCAGCCAGGGCTGAAGGGAAGTCTAGAAACCCTGTCAGCAGTCAAGGTAAAATGACCAAAGCTCGAATGAAAAGCTGATCATCGTACTATCGAAAGGCAATAATTGAAAATTCAGAATCGGTTGATGACATGAAAAGTGCAATCTGGGCAATATTCTTTCATATTCATAGCATTTCGACAGCAATAATCCGCATCATGATAGATTTTCTATGGCTTGGTGCTATTATAAACAAGCTACACAGGGTATCGATCCAGAGGAGTTTCGCGCTCAAAAAAAAACCACGACACCCCACTAACACAAGAGGTCGCCCACTACTTCATTGACCTTTTCAAACATTTGACAAATGAAGAACTATTAAAAAGGTGTCAAAAAAAATTAACACAAAATGCTAATAAGGGTTGCATTCCCTTGTTTTGAAGTACATTAGTAAAACTGTTTTTTCCCAAAAAAAACTATTGAGACTGGTGTTATAATGGGCGTTGCAAACTGGAATCAGGGACGGGTTTCAGTTTGCTAAATGTATGAAATTTATATGCATCATTTAAATTAGTAAAACAAAGAAGCCTATAGAATTTCGGCAATTTCTGTTAATTACATCTGGAGTAATGGCCCTTGTTTCACTTTGTTGAATCTTGTTAACGCCCTAATGACAACAGTTATCTTCCGATCTGTTTGAAATTGATATGCATCATTTAAATTAGTGAAACGAAGAAGCTTATTGAATTTCAGCAATTTCCATTAATTACTTCTAGAGTTAATAATAATAATAATAATAATAATAATCACTTTATTTCAAAAGGGTAGAAAATTAGGCCTGGGGCCTTTCTTACATTTTGCCCTTTTAACAACACCAAACAAAACATGCATAAAATCCGGAACAAATGCTTTACATAATGATAATAAATATATTAGATGTGCTGTTTGATAAATGTGAAAATATTTACACTGAGAGGTATGAATAGAATTATACATGAACAGTACTTGCTCGAAGATAGGTATGAATACTTTTATACAAAATATATGTACATGGATCAACATGGAAGCTGATGACATAGATCTATATAAAAAATATAAAAAAATAAAAAAATGGATGGACAAGAAACATTAAATTATGAAGCACTTAAATATCTATAAATATGCTTACGAAACATGTTGATTGAGCTTATATTTTTAATATTATTTGGCAATGAATTCCATAACTGAGATCCTCTGAATTTTATACTATTTTTTAACAACAGAAAGCTGGGGTCTGAGAACAATTAATCTGTTATTAATATTACTATAGGGTGTATTGTAAAAGGGAAGAACATATTCAATAAATGCCTTTCCTTAATTTTCAATAAGTTTAGATCAGCAATGCCAGGCGATAAATCTTTTGTGTGTTCAATATCTAAAATTCGTTTGAATGCTCGGTTTTGTTGTCGTTGGAGAGTATTAAGAGATAAAATATCGCAGTTTTCCCATATAGGTGAACAGTAATCGAGATATGGCTGGATATATGATCTATAAAATATTGATCGGAATTTACATGGGAGGAATTCTTTGAGTTTACGTAACTGAAATATTTTTTGATTGATAATTTTTTAAATATAATTTGCATGATCGTTCCATTGCAGATGATTATCGACCTGAATACCAAGCAATTTAAAAGTTGGGACATTTTCAATCGCACAGTTGTTAAGTTTTATCAATAAATTTGGTGTTAAAAGTCGTTTTCTTTTCTGCTTAGTGGTTATTAGCATGCATTTAGTTTTTAGTTCGTTGACCATCATCGAATTGTGGCCACACCAGTTGAGTAAGATATCAGTATCACGTCGCAATTTAATTTGAAGATCATTTAGATTGGTAGCTGACGAATAGACTGTTGTATCATCCGCAAATAAATCTCAGAATGACTCTAGATGGAGAGGAAGATCATTTATGAAAATATTAAATAATAATGGTCCTAAAATAGATCCCTGTGGAATACCAAAAGTAATTGGTTGAAGTTGAGAATATTGTCCGTTTGCGAAAGTACATTGATTTCGGTGGTCCAGGTAAGAATGAATTAAGTTCAGGAAGTTATCCGAAAGGTGATAGTAACGACATTTGTTCAACAAGATGTTGTGATTAACAAGATCAAAAGCTTTCTTAAAATCAAAAAATATAGCACCACACAGTTCATTATTATTTAGAGAATTATAAAAGTGTTCTTTTATGTTTGTTAAAGCGGTTAGACACGAGTTATTTGTTCTGTATCCTGATTGGTTAATATAAAGTAAATTATTGTTATTTAAATAATTATACAAATTACTGTGAATGTGCCGTTCGAGAATTTTGGATATTGACGGTAATACTGATATTGGTCTGTAATTATTTGGATCAGTTTTGGGACCATTTTTGTGAACAGGTAAAACTTTAGCATTTTTAAATACTTTAGGAAAATAATTTGATTTTATACACAAATTAAAGATATAGGTTAAACTGTCTGCAAGAACATGTGCGCCAAGTGACAAGGCTGTTTATATATGAACATTTAGATTTTCGTATTAGACTTTTCACAAGATTCCTGTAATATTTAAATAAGTCATGGTTGCCTTTCTTTTTGTAATGGTCTCGATTTTGCATAGTTTTAAGTATTTCATTATCTAACTACGGCGGTTTAATGGCACAATTAACCCGTTTTGTTCTCAGTGGAGCATGCTTGTCAATTATAGGGGTTATGATCTGATACCATATATCCAGAGATTTATCGGGTTCCTCAGAGCTTAAAATATTGTCAAATGGGGCCAACATTAGATCGTTCACATAATCTGTATGGTTAAAGTGTGTGAGTGATCGATATTTGATGTAAATATGTCTAGTTTTTGGAATTTTAACGCCGTTTTTACGCCATGTAAAACAGGTTGGGAAATGAACGTAATATTTTGTGGGGAGGAAACAATAACATGGTCAATTAATGTGGACGATTTGTCAGCCACACGAGTTGGGGAAGA